AATTACCTCCTTGAGCATACTTTTGGAGGTAATGTTGTGCTGCCGGATTCTGCGCTCGAGCAAGTCCCACAAATGCTCTATAGGATTGAGGTCTGGAGATTGGGGAGGTGTTTGCAAACGTTTTTTTACGTTATACAGCAACCACAGCCTTACGCTGTGAGCTGTATGTTTGGGATCATTATCTTGTTGGAAATAAAGGAAACCGCGTCAACAACCCACAGCCCAAACGGTAAGAGCTAGAAAGCTGCAATTTGGGGTCAAGTATCCTATCATAGTGTAAATGTGCATTAAGAAGGGATTTTGGAAAACTCGAGCTCCAAAGGGGGGAAAAGTAGCTCCAAAGTTTGTTTGAAAAATCCGCATTTTTCAACCGATCGACTTAAAACTTAGTTTCTAAAATCAATTAAAGAATACAAGCAAAACTGCATACTTAGATTTTCGAAATTTGTATTGTGTTGGGGTTTTAATATTTATTCACTATTTCAAATGAAATGTTTGTGTTATAAATTTAGTCCGATCGATTTAAAATTTGGGTAATGTAATCTACGTAACTAAATCTACAACTTTGCATTCAAGGATTTTCAAATTATGCATTTTACAAAAGCAGGCAAAGGCAAAGGAACAAACAATACAAATTTATAACATTTATATAACATTTTTAATTATATAACATTTTTAAAAGTAACTTTTTCTTTGTTTAGTGCATTTGGCATTAGGGTTTTCATTAATAACTTTATGCAGCAACAACAAATATCAAATATGTTTGTATGAATATAGCATGTATGTACATTCGTATTAATGTATACATTGGGCAATCGAACACAGTTTTTTGATTGTAAAAAAAATAATGCTCTAAAAACAACAACAACTGCGAGTCATTAGCTCGCTCTTCTTCTTTCGTTTTGACCATTTAATGTTAATTGCAAAGGCAAAACGCCAAAAGTTTACAGTTACCATCGCTAGGCAACGACTGCGTAAGCGATAGTAAAGCAGAAACCGAATAACGGAGCTACGTATATTCTGCTTCGTATTGCGTATTGTATGTATATGATTTGTTCTTATTGATGTCAATAAATAATTCGATTTTGTTATTTAAATATTCTGCTTATTGCATTCAAACTTCGATATTTTGATGGTATCGGTTGCTTCAACTATCGAAAGCTTTCCTCTAGCAAATTGAGATGAGAATTGTCAGTGCTTTTTGATCGTGGCTCATTGCTGCACGGCATTGACACGAGTGCCGTGTTTCATATTCCGAGTTTGTGCGTGACCGTATTGACTCAATATGGCACGAAAAGACTCAAATGTGAATTTAAAATTAGGATATACCCTTATAATTATTCCCCTTTTTTGCACATAGTCTATCTTAAAACGTTGCGTTATCTCTATATATAAAACAGTTTGTCCTGACTAATTGGTGATCAACGCACAGCCCAAACGGTAAAAGATGAAATTTGGACTCAAGTATCCTTTCATAGTATCCATCATAGTGTAGGAGCACACTAAGAAAGGCTTTTGGAAAATTCTAGCTCCAAAGGGGGGAAAACGAGCTTTAAAAAATATTAGTTATAGTGGTCATGTTCGTTTAACGAAATAGTTTGGCAAGAACAAAAATGTAACGGACTACTGAACAATTTTTTGTCAAGAACAGAAAATGTTCATTCAAATACCTTAAATGCCTTCCTAGTGGTAACTTATAAGGTGAAAACATATGGGTAGGTTATGCACACACAAAATAAATACAATTGGAAACATTATATTGAGCCGGGTTAAGACGGGCAATACCTGCTAGTTTCAAATATATCAGCTCTAACTTTTTATAATTAAAGAATAATTTATCAGTTCTACAACCTTTCCTATCTGCATTCAGACCTAACAATGGTTGTAAAACTTTGGGAAGTTTTTCTTTTAATGCCAGCAAATATTGTTGGGAAAGCTAACACTTCTGAGTCAGCATCAAGAATTTTGTCCAGGGGTCTTTGGCCTTCGCCAGGAGCAATTGTGATTCTTCGCATGGCAACATTATCTATTTGATTATTCTCAAGGAGAGTTTCTTGACCCCCAGGACAGAGCTCCTACATTTCCACATCCTCATCAATATGGGATGGCTCGCGAACTCTTCGCATAATTCCCTCCACTAACTCTGCATCTGCTTGAGAAGCTATGAAGGGAACAGTCTAGGAAGCAAAATCAGTCATCCACTGCTCATTAGTTACTACATTATGCTTTCTACAAAGCTCTGTATTAACTAAATATCGAATTGCATCTGAAATTTTTGAGGGCCTAATGGTTTCAGCCATGAAATCATGGGAATATTTCATTCTACGCTTGAGGTGGAGCTGGACGACCTCGGCTTTATGGCTTACGGCTTTCCCTCGTGGGAGGAAAGTCACGATATTGCTTACCGGTATGGGGACATTTACTACAGCTCCTTTAATAGCACTCTGGCGCTCAAAACCTAAAGGCTTAATGATCATAAATGGAAGGCGAGGAGAAATAAGGCATTCCTCTAAAGGAGTAAGCCCTTTATTTAGGAAAATTTAAACCATTCAAAATTGAAAAATTTGGTTTTTTGTTAGATTTAATACTGCGGGCACATGTTCTACAAAACTTGAAAACACCGTAACAGAAGGAAATTGACTGGAAAGAATTAAAATGTCCGCACTAAAGTCGTTGTAATTCTCTATGTAGCCACGAGTTATGTTTTCTGTTATTATTTTATCCTGCTCTCTTTCTATTATGCGGCGTTCAACATCGGCTCCTACTAAAGCCCTTCTATCAGCGTCCAGCCTCTGTTCGATAGTTCTAAAGTCTGTGTCTAACCTACGGTTGGCTCGACGCAGAGTATCCGCTGTCTGTTCATTCTGCGGAAACCCTGCGTCCCCACGTCTCTGTTTTTTAAAGTCCGTATTCTGTGTCTGTTCGTTTGTGTGATAAACTACATTCTGCCTACGATTCGATCGACCGCTTGTTCCGGCTCCCTAAACTCTGCGTCTAATGGTTTCTGTCTTCTAAAGTCCGTATTTTTATACTGTTCGTCTGCCCTGTAATCATTATCTAACCTACGATTCGATCGACGCAGAGTGTCGGCCATTTGTTCCGTCTCCCGAAACTCTGCGTCTAATCGTCTCTGTCTTCTAAAGTCCGTATTTTTATCCTGTTCGTCTGCCCTGTAATCATTATCTAACCTACGATTCGATGGACGCAGAGGGTCGGCCGCTTGTTCCGTCTCCCGATACACTGCGTCTAATCGTCTCCGGCTCCTGTGCTGTATCTTGTACTTGCTCCTGCTGTCGAATAGTAGCGTTACGTCTCCTAGTTGAACGCCGCAAACTATTATTAGCCTGGTCATTTACCCTATTTTCTTCATTTGCTCTACGGCTCCTTTGTGCAAGTGCATTCTTACCTCTTTCTGCCTGTGAATAAATAGCTTCTTCCCTATTTCTCAATCGGCGGTTTCGAGCCCGTTGAGAAGCAGACTGACGACTGCGTCGAGGCATATCGGACGGATAAATAATAATATAATATAATAAAAAATAAAATAATAATAAATAATAATGTAATAATAATAATAATAAACAAAATAGAACGCTACAGTCGAGCAAACCCGACAGTAAAATAGTACTCTCCACAAAAAAGAAAAATTAAAAAAAAAATATTAAAAAAAAATAAATTATTTAAAAAACATTTAATTTATTTATTAAATTAATTAAGAAAATGTATTTAATACATGCATAGAAGACATCTTTATGTACAGTTTTACATTTACATCACTTGTCTATGCTTGTTTATATACGTGTATATATAAGGAACAACAATAACAGTTGCGGGCAGCGCTGCAAGCAGAGCATGGGCAGCGATTTTATTTTTGGCTATAACTTTCTTCAGAATGTACCTATCACGATGAAACATGGCATACGGACATAAGACATAAGCACTAACAGACCTAAAACTGATTTCAACATTCCAAGAATTACCGGAGTTAGGAAAAACACGAATTGCGGGGGAGTGGGGGGGGGGGGGGGGGGTGTATCAGAAAAAAACACAAACTCGTTCTGCCTAGAGCTTAGGGGAACCTGAATGCCAAGTTTGGTTATCCTAGCTATTGTACTTGCTGAGATCCTTACGTTCATACAGACGGACATGGCTATATCGACTCGACTTGTCTTCCTGATCAATAATATATATACTTTGTGGAGTCTGCCATGCCTCCTTCTCTGTGTTACATACATTCGCACAAAACTAGTATAGCCTTTTACCCTTTGGGCATAGGCTATAAAAACTTGTATACACAAAACATTAAAACATCTATTAAAATAACGGTAATATCAAAAACAATTTTTGCACATACATATGTATATAAATTTTACTAGGTATGTATGACCAAGCAGTGCCCGCAGCTGTTATTTTGTTACTGTTTTGCACAGGCACACGAGACACACACATACACGCATAATTATTCTACACATATGTACAGAGTATTTCAAAGTCGGGACACCCGATTTTAGATTCTCTACTTATTTTAAATTTTCTTAGTTTTTTTAATTTTTATAATTATTAAACACATACATATGTACAGAGTATTTGAAAGTCAGGACACCCGAATTTAGCTTCTCCACTTGTTTTTAACTAAATTATAACCCGTTGATGCCGAAATACCTCTCTTAAATTTGGTAACAATCTCAGGTCGAATTTCACCAAACTACGATAAAAACTAACTACAGCACATACACAAAGCAAATTTAAGAAATAACAAAAAAAAAAAAAATTAACAAAAATTTTACATTAAATTTCCGTTGTGAAAATCCTTTTGACCACCTCTGTACATACTTTTAGGGGTCTGCCACACCTCCTCATGTGTGTTGCTTACATTGGCACAAAACTAATATACTCTTTTTACGGAGCGGAATCCTGTTCAAAGTCCCCTGACCTTACAAAAGCTTGAAACCAGCCTCACAATCCTGAGGACTACTTATTAAATGGAAACGATAGCGTTAAAATGATCTTTTCATTAGAAAAATATGATTGTATATTTTTATTAACAATATTGCAGAAAATGTCTTCTATATAAATTTACGTACACAATTTGATACAAACATTTTTTACGTCGGCGACGGCATTTTCGTTGTGTGCTTAACCAGTTCAACAATTATTACAACAAAACACCACAAATTACAAAATACAATTACGTAGTTGCATTGAGTACGCATTACATGACCATACAGGCGCCTTCCCGATCTTTGCCTCGACCTTGCTTTTGCAGTTGCGCAGGCGAGCTCTGCGCCATTGGGGTATATGGCTGGATGCTATTTGAATCCAGGGAGAGGTGCCGCGCTAATCGCGGATGCGAAGGTAGCTGCTCAGGCGTCCAGTTACCATTCGCTTGTTGACTTTTTATACCAAACTTAAGAGCGCCGTCTAATGCGTCGTTGTCCAGTGTTGTCGACACATCTGAAGCCAAGCCTTCGCCGCTTTCTTCGTGCGCTGAATCCACCACAGAACGTAATGAATGTATATACTGTTCCAGCAGAAAGATGTGAGGCTGTAGTGTCGTTATAAAAGGGTAATAAACGGAAGCACCATGTTCAAAGGTCCACTTCATAAGATTTTTTAGCGCTGTCTCAATGCGTTTGCATGTTTGTACGGATTCGGCACGTATTACCACATTTACAATACGGCCTATAGACGCTGCATCTTGTAGCAATATTGACAGCACCAAAGCATAATCTGTACAATTGGCCTCAATAAATAACTGCAGCAAATATCGAAGTTTAATGTTCAACTTCTCCGGTAGATAAAATGCGCCTACCAAACCTTCGTTAGTATCATCATCGGAGACTGCTAGCGAGTAAAGACGCCGATAGCAAAAATTGTCGAAAGACATCTGTGAGTTTGAACGTCGGTCCGTTACTGGTAGTGAGATATAGTGCAACTCCTCCTCTTCCTTGATACTCGGTGGCATCTGCGGCGATTGCGCGGCATTACCATTGGGGAGACTAGTCGGTGTGTCCAAATGTGCGGCAACACTAAAGTATCCCGACTCGGATGTTTGTGATGAACTGCCCGGTCGCGTCCCACGGAATTGAGTATAGTCATCTTTCCCCGGTGGAAATGGCGACGGGAGCTGCAGCTCCTCGTGTAGCGTCTGTATCGCCAGCACAAAGTCATCCACCTTAGCTGCGTGCTCCACTTCCTGTGACAGCCAGCTTACCAAGTGAAAATCTAGATAAGCGCACATATATCCAAGGTCGATAAGCTTGTGCTGCTGCAGTAGATGACGAGCATGTCGCTGGAGTATAAGGTCAATGCAAAACGTCTCTCGCTGTCGATCCCTTGTAGAAATTCTGCGCTCCGATTTTCGGCGCGCAACAGTTGGTGCGCCCTGACTTCCACTGAGAACACTTGGTGGAGCGCCTGTGTCATTAGGCGTGCCTATAGTTACAGAGGATATGTCGCGGGTACTGCTTCCACTCGTCTGCAATGGGGTTTGCTTTTCACGTTTCTCTCGCTCCTTCGAAAGGGGTAAATTGCTGTTAACAGTAGTCGAATAGCTACGTTCTCGTCCAATTGGTCCCAGAACCAAATTGAAAACATCCGTGTTTTGATTAACCTGAGCTTGTGTTTGAGCTGGTGGAGCAATTTTAACATTAACCACCATTGACGAGCGAGGTGATTCTATTTCGTTTGGATCTATAGCCTTAAGGAAACGTATGAGATCCTTGGCTAGCTCCCATTTTCGTTGCTGCAGTGCAATGTCCAGCAACATTTTAGCGTATTGCTTACTCACCATTGAAGGTTCCAAATTCTGGAGAATGATCAAATAACTAGCCGCTGTATCTAGCTGATCCGATTGCAGGCATAGCTGGAAAAGCTCCTTTGGCTTACCAGCCATGGAGAAGAGGTATGGCCATAGCGCGATTTCCGTCTTGCGGGCACATTGCACAATAGTTTGCAGGTACACGGGAAACTCACGTATAAAGTCTAGTATGCTGGGCAGTTGTGCATCCGGAATAGGGTGTTTACTGGTCGCCTCTTCCTCTAGGACTTCGTGTAGTAGTAGCTCCAGAGCATGTGGGAAATATGGTAGCGAACGGCAGGATTGAGCAATTTCCCATGCGGAATATCCTAGATTTCGCTTGATCAACTGGCGCAGCACCTTGTGCAGATAAACTTGTGACTTTCGTTCGATAAGCGAAAAGGGCAGTGAAAAGTGCGAAGCTGACTCGTTAGTGTATATCGTGCTTTCATTCTCGACGCCAAGTACAATGACATTGTCAAAGAGTATGACCAACGGGTAAAGCCGCAGTGGAAAACTGAGCATTATGCGCTTGGACATGAAACTGTGCAGGCGTTGCGTACTGGCACCTTGCTCAAGACGTTCCTGCGCAGGCGGCAGGATCGGCAGCCACACCCGCATGCCCTGAGCACCAGCATAGAGCCAAAGACAGTCGCGCATTGCGCAGTTCTCAAGAGTATGCGACAGCCAAAAACACTCAACACATGAAGCAAGACAGGTGGCAAGCAGAGTATTGGGTACATTATGGTAAGCATCGCGTTGAATCATCAAAATACGTCCACACACATTAACAATTATAGTTTCCGCTTGATCTGAGCCTAGCATCTGACCAGGCGGCTTCGTTTCGTTTTTAAGATTTGTCACAGTAAGGGAGACAATACAAGCGGGATGTATACATATGCTCTTTACATCCAGCTCGTAGACGCACTCAATGTCCAGGGCATATGTCGACTTCTTCGTTAGGTTAAATAGACTAACGATGCCATCGGCTGTCAGCAAGATAAGTTGATGTCGAAATACATTTAGACTTATCACGGGTGCGCGCACCTGCAACTTGTGACCAAATTGGTTGTCAAGCTTGTACTCTGCTGGATAGCAGCGTAATTCGTCCGTGCGATCTAGCAGAGAATAACAGCCCATTACTATAAAGCTTTGCCACCAGAGCAATCCACCAGAGACAACAAAGTCTTTCTCTTGCGACTCATTTCCAAAAAGCTTCCATTTCTTACTATGAATTGAGTAGTGGGCCAAACCCGTCCGTCCAGCTACAGCCAGGTGCAATCCTAAAGCATCAATTGCTGCATAGCGTATGGGCCAATTAGTGGCCGCATAGTTCAAGGGTATCTGCAGCAGTGTCCAGTACTTGCTCTCTGCCAAAATGCTGGCAATATCAAGGCTCTGCTTGAGTTCTATGCAGTCATTTGGCTGTGTTTGGTCGGTGTTATTGTTGGGAAAAGAGCTTTTTGCGCCTCCGTACGTCTTTTCGAGATTGTTGCCTTGATTTATGTAAAGATAGTCGTCGCCTTGAAGCAATATATGCGAAGTGGACGTCTGACAAGGATTAATGCTAAGCGCACTCTTCACAAACTGCATTTGTAGCACGTTGCTGTCGCCACGGGGCTTTTCTGTCATAAACAGCTGGTAGCCCTCAGTTGACCATTCCAAGCGGCGCAACTGCAGCGGATTTTGCTTTAGCAAATCTATATGCAGGCCAAAATCCCAACTCAGCGAGGACATGAGCATAGCACCGAAAGTACTCCACAGGGCCAGGCCACCGTTTTCCCAACAGACAGCTAGAACACAGCCGTCTGGACTCCACTTAAGCTCATTAACAGATCCTAGGCAGCCAGGAAGCACATTCTCGTTAAGAGTCAAGCGATGCGAGCACTCCAGTACACCTGTGGCGTCCTCTATGGCATACACCGCGACATCGGAGCTCTTCCGTCCGTAGGCAAGCAATCGAAACTTGTGATTGACACTGCATACACATGCATCTTCCACATCTGGTACCCAACAGCCGTGCATGTGCGCGTTTTCAAAACGGAGATGATTGGCGATAAGAAAGGCCGCACGGCGATCACTAAATACTGCCGCACAACCACCGATAAACGGCGAATATTCCAGAGAAGCTATATAGGCATCTGTGCCAATAGGTGGTTGAAATTTCGTATGCGCCTGCTGCTGTACGTAAAAGGGAATGTCATGCAGATTTATGGTGGCCAAAGCACTCTCTTGAAGGCCCGTTCCAGACTCTAGTTGTATCCATTGAACACGCAACAGTTCACAAGACTGCGTGGCCAGCAACAACTCACTGAGGCTGATGCAGCACGCCGTGGAAATGACTGAGGCAAGCGTAACACTACATATCTCACGCAGACTCAGGCGCGGTATGTTTTCCTTGATGAAAAGTTCGGCAGAGTCGCGTTTAAGACTCACCGTGGGCGGGTCTACTTGCATTAGTATACCGCTCCCATTAGCATCGAAGTCCAGTTGATAGAGCAGCAAAGCACCTTCACTAGTTAATAAAGCCAGTTGCCGTGAATCCGGCTTCCAGATAATTAAATTATTGGTGCCGTAATTCTGCAGTGATTGGCCATTTCGTCTAAAATAGGCAATAGGTATGAGTGGGTTGGCGTACCAAATGCCCAAAAAATCGTCGCCTATCGCAGCAACCAGAATCTTTACTGCATCGCAGCAAATGTGACGAATGTGTGCACTCTCGCCAGGAAGGGCGAAGCTGATGCGCTTGGGCCAGCCGACTGGGAAGTACATCTTTACAAAAAATCACTGCAATGAATAGAAAAGATATAAATATATGACAACAAAGCAAATTTAAAAATCATAAGTAACACCATCACCATATCGTTAAATCTAAAGATCTGTGTAAAGCCAATAACATAAGGCAAACAAGTACATTTGTATTATTACATGCCAAACTCCATTTTATCCGAATACAACTATTATGACTTTCAGAAAGCGTAATTTTTAGGAATTTAAATACATAAATAAACAAATTTCGCTAAGCTACTTCCTCATATGTTTTAGTGTTGTCAAACTTTGACACTTTAGTGATGGGCAGTGACCAGTGCTGCCATTTTTTTTTTATTTAAAAAAAGATTTTTCTAACTGGAAGAAAGGGAAAAAAGTCGAAAATTTACGGAAAAAAACCTAAACACGTAAAAAAGTTACAGTCGGATGTTCCGACTTTGAAATACTCTGTACATATGTTTACAATAATTATAGAAATTAAAAAAATTTAAAAAAAAATTTGATCGATTTTACCTCTATCGGTATTCGAACTCACAAATAATTGCATTTACAAAGAAATTGCGAAAATGTGAGTGTATAAATGATAGGCATTCATCTATCACGTATCTATTTGTGTCTGTGTAAACATGTTTGCAGTCAACCAAACAGCAACATCAACAACAGCTGCGTGCAGCGCTTGGGCAGCAAATATGTTTATGGCTATAACTTCTTGTTAAATCGGTCTATCATAGTGAAACTTGGCATACGGCCACATAATCACTAACTGGGGGTATTTCCAAATTTGAATTCGAAATTCCAAGGGAGGGAGGAAAATTCCAAAATGGACATTTTTTGCGTATTCATAAGGCATCTTGGACTAAAATTTGGTGTTCCTAGGTCTGTCTTATAGTCTCCGAGATATACGAATGGAAAATCGGGAAAACCCCCATAGGGAGGAAGTAGGGGGGGGTTATGGTTTTACAAATTTATTTGTTGTTAGGTGATATTTACATTAACTCATTCAGTTCTGCGAGATTCGCATTCGTACGACATGGTCGTACCAATCATGCGTAAATAATTATTAGGCAATTGGTACTCAAAGCAGCATAGTTTTGTCAGTTTTTGTCAAAAATTACAAAGTCTATTTTTGTTGTTGAATAAAACCGTTCATTGCACTTGTGTGCTTCTTTGTTGTTGCATGAGCGCGCAAATCACTAAGCGTGGCTGTGATAGTGATCTTGTAATAGCTGCAGTAAACCATATGCTCGTCCGAGTCATCTTTGCGAATCCAAGCCTTGAATTCTTCGCTTTTTAGCCAAGCATCTCGGCAGTGTGGTAGTACATAATTCCGTTTTTACACGTAGATTGGTTCCAGAAAAGTCCCGTGTAAAAAAAGACATTGATTATATGCAAAAATACTAAAACCTATTAAAATTAGAGAAAAAACAAGGATATATGTTTATTTTTATCAAAACACATATAATGTACATAACGACCCACATAAGAATGGTTTTTAGTTGTTCGTCAGCTGTGTGTGCTTTTATTTATTCAATTTGTGTCTTGGAATAAGGTCGTGTAACAATATATACAATTTTTAATTTTCACACCGTGTTAAATCAAAACCGTGTAAAAACAGAATTAGGTGTATTACTTTGTCATTTTACAATTTAACATTTAACTATTGGTGCGCACTATTGCTATTAAGATGATAATTTGCCTTAAACTATAGTGGGGGTATTGGCAAATATCGATAAAAATAAGCCAGTTTTTATAGTTTTTATGTGACTGGTGACCAAATTAAAAAAAAACGGGCAAAAAGCCAAACACATTTCTAAAAAATATCCAGAATTCCCGCTTCCCGCTATTCTCAATTTTTTCCCGCAACAGGCCTTATAAAACAGCCAGATTTGGCAGCCCTGCCAGTGACAGAAACAAATATTTATCGATTGTGTATAATTTAATTAATTTATTGTTAAACAGCCGTCGGATAGTAAATTTGTTTATTAACGCGATGACTGCATTCGAAGGTAAGTTTCATGAAATCCTAATCAGAAGATTCTAAATTTGCAAACATTTACAGAATTTGGTGTGCTACCTGAGCTTGGCAAGGCGACTGATGAGCTAGATTGGACGTAAGTAGTTTATCAAAATTCAACGTACACGTACGCCAACGTATGCATTATTATGCAGATTACCCACCGATGTGCAGGCCGAAGCAATTCCGCTTATCCTAGGTGGCGGCGATGTGCTCATGGCAGCAGAGACGGGTTCTGGAAAAACAGGGGCATTTTGCTTGCCGATTTTGCAGATTGTGTGGGAAACCTTGCGTGACTTGGAAGAAGGAAAGGGCATATCCGCTAGTGGTTCTACAGGCGGCAGTGCCCCACCATGGACAATGTCGTTCTACGATCGGGGAAATTTGCTAGCAGTTACTTCTGATGGGCTCCGTTGCCAGTCTCGCGAGTTTAAGGAATGGCATGGTTGTCGCGCCACTACTGGAGTTTGCGGTAAAGGAAAGTTCTATTTTGAGGCAATTGTCACGGATGAGGGTCTGTGCCGCGTAGGGTGGTCCACACAGCAGGCCAATCTTGACTTAGGTACGTGCCGTTATGGCTTTGGTTTTGGTGGCACAGGCAAAAAATCTAACAACCGCCAGTTTGACGATTACGGCGAAGCTTTCGGCAAAAGTGATGCTATAGGTTGCATGCTGGACTTAGATAATCTGGAAGTTTCCTTTTCCAAGAATGGTCAGCATCTTGGATTGGCTTTTCGTATACCGGATAACATGCGTAATGATACATTTTATCCAGCATTGGTCCTTAAGAACGCAGAAATGTTGTTTAACTTTGGTAAAAGTGAATTCAAATATCCACCTGGAAATGGCTTTTTAGCCGTGTGTCAAGCAGGCGCAGACCACACGAAAGCTAATCCATTGGCCAACCCATCTACCAATACAGCCGCTACAAAACCTGCTCCCAATGCACCGCAGGCCATCATAATAGAGCCCAGCCGCGAGCTAGCGGAGCAAACCTACAACCAAATTGAAAAATTTAAGCTGTATTTAACCAATCCCGTAGTGCGCTCCCTGTTGCTTATTGGTGGTGTGAAGCTAGAATTGCAAAAACAGGAACTTCTTAAGGGTATACACATTGTGGTGGGAACGCCCGGCCGCCTAGAAGAGTTGATCAATAGTGGCCTTGTACAGCTCACTCATTGTCGTTTTTTCGTGTTGGATGAGGCGGATGCATTGCTTAAGCAAGGTTATACAGACCTTATCGAACGCTTGCATAAACAAATCCCAAAAATGACAGCCGATGGACGACTCCTTCAGATGATCGTTTGCTCTGCTACGCTCCATGCCTTCGAAGTAAAAAAAATGGCCGAAAGACTAATGAAATTCCCCACGTGGATCGACCTGAAAGGCGAAGACGCTGTTCCAGAAACCGTGCATCATGTGGTATGTCTGGTTTGCCCAAAAACTGATAGCACCTGGAAGAACCTGCGGCAACCCTTATGTACAGATGGTGTACACGACCGCGACAATGTGCATCCCAGTAACTGGACGCCTGAAACACAGTCACAGGCGGTAAAGCTGCTAAAGGGCGAGTACTGCCTCAGAGCCATAAATGAACACAAAATGGAACGCGCCATCATATTCTGTCGTACTAAACAGGATTGTGATAATTTGGAACAGTTTTTGCGCTCAAGGGGCGGCCAGAGCTATTCTTGTGTCTGCCTACATGGCGATCGTAAGCCCCAAGAGCGGAAACAGAATTTGGAGATGTTTAAGCGTGAGAAGGTAAAGTTTCTGATATGTACAGATGTTGCTGCACGTGGATTGGATATTACTGGGCTGCCTTTCAGTAAGTTTCGTGTCTGCTTCATGTTTGGCTCCTAAACTGAAATAAAACTTGTTTTGCATTTCAGTGATCAACATGACATTGCCTGACGATAAAACCAATTATGTTCATCGCATTGGGAGAGTTGGGCGCGCTGAGCGCATGGGTTTGGCCATTAGCCTCGTTTCGACTGTGCCTGAAAAGGTATGGTATCACGGTGAATGGTGTAAGTCACGTGGTCGCAATTGCAACAACACCAATCTTACGGATGTGCGCGGCTGCTGCATTTGGTACAACGAGCCCAATCTTCTAGCAGAGGTGGAAGAGCATCTGAACATTACCATACAACAGGTCGACAAATCCCTTGCCGTGCCTGTCAACGACTTCGATGGGAATGTTATTTATGGTCAAAAACATCTCTTCAGCGGCACAGGATACAAGGATCATGTACAACAGCTAGGGCCGGTGGTGCGTAAACTAACAGATTTAGAGCTGCAATCACAATCTTTATTTTTGAAACGCTTAAAAGTTTAGGACTAGTATTTTAAAATAAATGTAAATCCTGTGAAGATAAATACTATAACGGTTCACATTGCATACAAACGCACACACATACAGAAAGCATTAAAATAAAGTACTATACTCTCGCAATTAGACTATCGTCTCTCGTTAACGTCTCCTGTGTAGCTACTCTTCATCATCCTCATCCGCCTCGTTAAATTCGGTGCGCATCTGCTGAAGCTGACGCAGTTGTTGGCATAGCTTGTTGCCAAAGGACTCCACATACTGTGGACTAATCTTGTCCAACAGAGCGTAAGGAGTTTCGAAAATTTCATCCTCATCCGGGTTTGCGTTTTCTTTTTGCTTATTAACGGTATCATACAAGGAAGATACGATCTTAAAGCCCCTGCTGGATACCTGCACGCAGCATGTAGTGCCTTCTATAGTACGAATATTTAGATATATGTGCGTTGCATCGCAGGGGAGGTTTGATATTAGAATTTCGTCAACGTGAGACTTTACATCATTAATAATGGCTTTAGCCTCGTCTATGCAGTTAAACACCAAGTCACCGTCGTCGTCTGCGTTGATATTCATCTCGTCGATTTAGTATATTGCTGAATATATTGTTTATGTTTTAAGTTATTTAGCAACGTTTAGATACGAGTTTTTTGGCCATCCACTTTTACAAGAACATCGCCATCACCAATTAAATGTTTAATATTGTATTTTACATTAATGATGACTTTGCTTATGAATTTCGTAATTTTTTTGGAGAAGAAACTCAACACTTTGTGTTTACAATTTAAAATGTTCCGTTTACCAGTGCAACATGTTTTTATTAACACTGTGCCATATGTTGGTTTAGATTCACTTTCGACAGCTGTTTTGGTGAACAAGTCAAACAAATGATACATCGATAACTTTTACACAAATATCTTATGCGTGTTCTTGCGAATTTTCTATCGGAAATACTATATACGATTTTGAAACATTGGCAGCCAAGATTTTCGAGTTCCCCAATGGATAACCTGCCATTCGCGCCATTTTAATATAACAAAAATGTTAAGAGAAATATGTATGTGTGTAGGAGAACACATTTTGCAAATTCACTTTTAATTGCATTTTTATTTTGAAACACTGCCACCAAACCTAATCTTATGCGTCATCAGCATAGATGAAAATTAGACTGCAAAATTTGCAGCTATTGTACTTCAATCACGAGATTGTCCAGTCGAAGGAAAAACATCGATGTTCTTGTACATCGATGTCTCTTTATAAAAAATCGATGCATGGTCGATGCATCGCAAAAAACACATCGATGTATCAATGTTTTAAAAGATTAAATTTCCATAGAAAAAAAAGCTAATATTAGGGAGAAAACCAACAGAGATTTTTAAAATAAAAAATGTTTATATATCAAGAGAAACTCTCACAGCTTTAAAAACAACGACGCGTTTTAGTTACGCCTTCTAAGCATATTAAGTATTATATATGAAAAAATGGAGATGCTTAAAATGTATACTACAAAATACACATTTTAATGGAAATATCAAATAATTTATAATATAAATATACTTTCTTCGGTAAACCATACAAAGAAATATCGATAGTCCCTTTAGTTTGCTCCCACATTCCTAAGTATTAAACGGCGGCTTAAGCAACTGCATATATGTTTAACTTTGTATGTAATTTAAAAAGGAAAAAATAAAAGATATGCATTTGTGTACATATATATTTCCTTCGCCTTTAGGAAATTGATTTTTTTTTTAAATCTATGTATGTATGTATATGGATCGAAACAGAAATATACTTCAAAATAATAATAAAAGACTACTTAGTAAAAATGCGTGAAATGATAAAACGGTCATTATGGTTTCTGAATTTTATACATATCGTGAAATTGCAATAACCATGAACATAAATTCTGAAATTAATTTTCAATATTTATTTACTTTTATTTATATGAACTTAAGTCACCTTCTACACGCTGCTGTATACATATGAAATAAATTAATAAAGCGGGTTTTCTTTCACTATTACAAGTACTCTATTTTGGCAGTGCCCACGAAGTACATATGTATGTATTCTTTATCATTAGTGCTAAAGACAAGTTTTTTACATCTTGCGGACATTTAGATATTTTTCGAAACATTTTTAATGCATTTCGATATACTTTTCATTCCTATTTTTACCAAACCGTTAAAATGTATTAGAATGTTAATTATTTATTAGCAAAACTGCATTACAAAACTATTCTAAAATGTATAGAATTCCTTTTCTTCCATTTCCACTGTATCAAAGCTTTTGCTAATTTAACTCACATAAAACATCGAACTCTAAATATAGTTAGATGCTGATACTTGTCGTATGCGACCTTGCATTATTCAGGACTAAAACACAGACCATCACTAGCAAAATCGCATGGCCAATCTTGAAGCCGGAATACAAATCTTATTGCAAGAAGCGCAGGACTTATGTGTTGGCACAGAAGTAGCTGAGTTGCAGGAGCCACCTACTGCTTTAGAATTCGCGTGTCAATATTACGCTAAAAACTTGCCTGTTGTGATACGCAATGCAGTGAGCCACTGGGAAGCTGTAAAAAAATGGACTCCAAAATTTATCGCGGAAGCCTTAAATGACCGATTTGTAGATGTTGCAATTACGCCAAATGGATTTGCCGATGGTTTAGCTACAGAATCGGGGGTGGAATTTTTTGTTTTACCTCTGGAAACGCAAATGCCCTTATCGCATCTGATTCAGCGACTTGATGATCCCACGGGGCCTGTGTGCTACATACAAAAGCAAAACTCAAACTTTTTTGACTTTCCAGAGCTGACCAAAGACATCGATGTAAAAGACTTAGCCTTTGCACAGCAGTGCTTCAATAAAGAGCCTGATGCCATTAATTTTTGGATGGGCGATTCGCGAGCCGTTACTTCCATGCACAAAGACCCATATGAAAACCTGTACTGCGTCATCTCAGGACACAAAGACTTCATACTGCTCCCGCCATATCAACTCTGCTGTGTGCCACGTCGTAAATACCCCACCGGCAGGTACAAGCGCAGGAAATGCGGTCAGTTCTACATAGAACCCTTGATGAGCGAGACTGAGTGGGTCAGTATTGATCCGCTGGCTCCAGATCTGGCTAAATACCCCGAATACTCGAAAGCCAGTCCGTTACACGTGCGTGTGCTAGCGGGCGATGTGCTCTACTTGCCCAATTATTGGTTTCATCATGTGCGACAGAGTCATAAGTGCATAGCTGTAAACTTTTGGTATGACATGGAGTACGATAGCCGCTATTGCTACTACCGCATGATGGAGCAGTTGACCAGTCACAGAGTTGTTTAATACAATATCTGATAGATTTTTAATTTTTATGATAAATATAACTCAAAAAAGTCGTCCAGAATCGAATATCTCTAAATGCGTTTCATTTTTTGGCGCAGTATGTGAATGCTTTTTGGAATGCGAACGAGTATAAACGGCTATTCTATCGAACTAATGGCCGCTGCTGCCCCCTCTTCTTCAGGAATTTCTTTGTTTTCGCACTCGACGTCAGACTTTTGACCATTTGGCGATACTTTTTGATCCGCTTCAGCCAAATCGGCGTCATTCGAATTCTGTGCGCGTAACAGTTCTTTCGGATGTTTCTTAGACGCCGCCTTTGGACATTTTTTAATCAAATCAGCCTGCCCCGCTGGCTTAAAATAGCTTGTACTGGGCCGTTCTACCAAAAACATCTGCTCTAGGTACTTTTCGTACCAAAGCAGAAATTCATTCCGTTGTCGTGGGATATCCATTTTTTTTATCTTGGCATAAATACGTTTGGGTGAGATGACCGGCCTGGTTGCAGCAGTGATTCCAGCTAAGCCTGTCTCTGAGCTCTGGATTGCAGTCACAGTCAGTTTGGACACCTCCGCCAACTGAGCGTCATTAATAGTTGTGTTGTTATTGGTCTGGTGTTGTATTTTCTTGATAATATATTTGATGAGCTCGTGATCGGATCGCACTTCTATTGGGGACATGCATGCTGGAGCAGGCGTACTTACCTCTATGATAGTCTTAGTAAGTTTCTGCAAATAAAAAGCCAATTCACATGAATTGCAATGAATTACTCCTCAACAATGATATCTGTAACTAACCTCGTCGTTTTTAACGCTTGGTTCTTCAAAATGTGTCTGTGAATGTTCCTCATCCCTATTGCGCATTGGATTTGCCGGATCATTTTCATCTTCTGGCTTATCATTTTCCACGTACGGTGGTAACCCCATTTCCGTGCCCTTTCCTGTATTCTCTGAAGTCGAATTAATTGCCGAGTCCATTTCCAGTTCTGCCTCTATTAGTTTCCCATTCTGCAATAATTCATTTGGGTTCGCACCCTGATCTTGGGCTTGATTCAACGCCTTCTGCAAACAGTTCATATCGCCTTGTTTTTGTTGTTGCTGTTGTTCGAAGAGCGTCTCAAGGCGTCTGTAAACATCCTCCTTTATCGATTCATAAAACTTAGTCGTAAACTTGTCATTTTTCAGCGCATTAACCAACAAATTTCGATTTAGTTCTTCCGAAGCGGTGTCCTCAGCCTGTTCCAAAACATTTTCATTTGACTCATCAGCAGTGCTCGGCTCCTGGTTCGTTAAATTGTAGACAGGGATACTAGCCTCGGGCATCGGTATCCCAAATTGTGGTACATAATCAAAGTTTTGCGGATGATGCTGCTGGTGCAGTAGATCAAAATTAAAACGAAGGTGCCGTTGCTGTAGAGGCGTCAATGCCACAACTGATGTTGTCGGCTTGGCCGGCACCTTGTTTCTCTGGTATAGCGGACTGTTACCATAGTTTATATTCATGTTTAGTGAATTGGAAGAGACCTGCTGATGCGCATTTGCATCAGCATCGCGCAAATTAGGTAGCAAGCGTCGATGATTTGGACGTCTATCGTCGCTAAATATGATGGTATCAAGATTGTTGTCCTCCTCCACATCCATATTGTTCGTGTCTGCACGCCAGTCCCGGCTACTCCTACTATTGTTTAAGTTGTTGCTGGTTCCATGAAGATGAACCTCATGGAAATGTCGCCGCGGGTGGGACGGTTGCAACTGTTGGTAGTGCTGGTACGTGCCCCGTTGTTGTAATTGGTGGAGCTGCTGCTGTTCCAATTCGGGCTCCTCATTATTCTTGTTTGAATTAATAGAAAGCAAATTCTGACGCGAGTAACTGCAAAGCGCAAAATTATGAGTTAATGTTAGCGTAAGCATGTAATACAACAAGATTAGTAGTTAAAATTAACTAGGCATGTACATAACTTTAGCAGAACATATAAGTAATCTTATGCTTTAAGTACAAGTATTTACAAACATATGTATGAACATAGTTTGAGCTCTAATCATATTTTTAAAGGAGAACACTGTTAAAAAAATGAAGTCAGCTTAAAATCGGTTGTATTATTTAGTTAGTACAAGGAAATCGTGCAGACTATTAGAACTCAATATATTTGAGTCAGAGCTGATAATAAATGGACTTACCAAAAAACAGAAATAAATATAAACGGATGCCCGACATTGAAATATGTTAAAAACTTACGCCTTTGTGTTTTTCTATATAGAATGTTTTACATCTAATTGCAGAGAAACAAAATCATGCCGCTTTTAGGGCTTGGGGCGTAGTACTGGCGTAAATTTGTTGAGTAAAACTGTTTTAGGAATTACCGATATTTTTTAAATAATGATTGAGAACCGCAGAAAAAGTGTATTAAATCTGGTTTTAGTAATTGTGGTTAGTAATGAAAAAGTAAAAAAAAAAAACAAGAGAGAACGCTACAATCGAGTAAAATACCCTGTACCCAGACAAGCTTCCTACACTGAGTTATATGCGTCTCTAGCAGAAGCAAAACGAAGGAGAAGAGCGAAGTGTATGCTGCAGTTAGTGGACGCAGTACTGGAGAAAAATTGTTTCCCAAATATCTTTTCTTAGAATTAACTGATTTGGATGAAATTGGAATCAAAAGTTGGGACCCTCTCCCAAAAATCAAAAAAATAAAATAAACTCGTATAGACTAGGAACACCACATGCATACCAAGTTTGGTCCAGAAATCCAAGCGTTCATCCAGACAGACGGACGGACATGTCTAGATCGATTTCTCTAATCATGCTGATCAAGAATATATATACTTTATGGGGTTGGAAATGGATCCTGCCTGTTACATACTTTGCACAAGGGTATTATTCACACAGACGGACGGACATGGTTATATCGATTTGTCTCATCATGCTGATCATGAATATATGGCATCGTAGATACTTCTTTTTGCGTATCCAATTTATTTTCACGAACCTAATAAATTCTTAAACAGGGTACAAAATTATTATGTTACAATTCAAAGTTTGAAGATTTACATTTGACTTTGATTTATTATGAGCGACACACAAAAAATTTACAGAGTGTTTTGTGTCACTCATCCGCCGCAACGTTTAAATTATACTAACTTGACCACCACCATTTATGCAATAGCTTTACCTTCTAAAGTTATCCCAATAGTTGTTGGCTCGATTGCCCGGTGGAACTTGATTGTTCAAAGCAGCTGGTGTTGCCGAAATATCCAGTGGCACATTGTTCGCGTGTTGGTTTTGTGTGCGAAGATTTGCATTATTTTGGTGAATTGTGTTATTGTGATGATTCATAAAAATAGGACCCGGATTCGTGCGGTAAGAGGGCGGCGAGTGTGGTATCTCGTTGTTGAAGTGCGTTGGCGGCGACAGGACAGGTCCCACAGTCTGGGCTGCAGGCACAGATGGCGGAGGTGGCGGTGGGGGTGGTGGTGCCGAGTTGTTTAGGTTGGCTTGATGATAAATAGATACATTTCGATGGCGCTGTTGGTAATTGGAGAACGCGCTGTTATGGGCCCCAAAACTGAAGAGCTGTTCTGACTGGGCCCGATTGCTATCCATGCACAGATTGTTTGGCATGCTATTTAGGCCGGCTGCAACGGTCAAGCTGGACGGCGGCACGGACTCGGACCGAAGACCAAAGCTTTGATCATTTGCAGCATTGACTCGATCCTGAAGCTGTAGGTTATAAATATATTTAGTGTAATTCGAACAAAATTATTTAATTTCCACATTGTTTAAAGAAATGGGTCAGAGAGGTCTTTTTTGCTGCAAAAATAAATTACTGCGTTATCAGTTTGATTCTACGAACCTCTACAGTCCGTCTATATGTTTCTATGCAAATTTTAAATTTTTTAACTTTAAGCTCATAGGGTTATAATTCTTGTAAGTAGATCATTTACCGGTCGGATCGGACCACTATATCTGGACAGAAGGCTGTTATCCCAATCTAAATACTAGATTCATAATTAATATAAAATTTGTGTTCTGAAGTAATTTCATTTTCGTAAGTAAATTTTCGAACTCGTCAAGATGTTTTTTATATTGATTTAAGATACACCAATTTAACACATTTTAAACTTATAAATACAGATCTATTATGTTGAAAAAAATCACTTAAGCAAGCAGCGGTATATTCTAAGATATAATATAAAGGATATTCCTAATTGGAGTTCAAGTATTAATTAAACTTACCACATGAATTAGATTGTTGAGATTGTCAATCTCACGCTGTTGGTGCCAGAGCGACTGGTTGCACTGGCAAACTGAATTTATGAGCATTTGCTGGGTTTGCATAAATTGCTGCAACAGCACGGACTCTGAGTTACTGCCTCCGGGCTGAGCCTGCGTGGCGGTGGATGCATTTGAGGATGGGTAGGCCAAATACTCGCCGCCATTGCTAGAAGAATGTGGTCTTGTTTGGCCGAACATGGGCTGCGCCTGCCAAGTGTTGTTCGCATTGTGGGTAGCTGCTTAGAAAGTCTGTCAATAACATTGAGAAAAATTGTACATTTTTTACCTACCCCAGCTGGCCTGAACTGGTGCCATTGGCGGTGGCATGTACTGCATACGCGTGCTACCGGACTGAAGGCTATCATTTCCAAGTGAAAGGCTATCCATGGTAACATTTAGATCGTCCTCGTTATGGGGAAGCGACTGAGATTTTTTACTATGGTTGCGTTGCTGTTCCACCACAGTCGCCGTTGAGGGCACACGCTTCAAAGTAGCCGCCGAAGACGAAGTGCGTGCATGATTAAAATATTTACCGCTGTCAGTGTCGTCGTTACATTCATCATCTGCCTCGGAAGTAGTATTTGTATAATGTTTCTGGCGATTTGTCTGCGTTTTGGTCGTCTTATAGCGTGCCTCATACTCACGCTGCTTTTGTTCGTACTGCTTCTTGAGGCGCTCACATTGAGCGCGCAGTTCTTCCCGCGTAGGGGATGGTGTTTTCGGACGTTCTGATGTCTGGTGAGACGCCAGTGTGGGAGTGGGTGTCAGGCTGTTGCGTTGCAGTGCCTGTTCACCCAACTGGGCAGCCGAAGCAGCCTGATGCTTGCGTCGCTCGACTTCCGCTTTCAGCGCTAATATGCGATCGCGCTCATGTTGCAGATTGGCCGCTTCGGCTCGAAGTTCTGAAGTCACATCGTTAAGTGCATGCACACGTTGTAAAATCTCCCCACTCTTATTAGCAGGTAGCTGATTCTCTGTGCTGCTATGACGAGTGTTGTCTAAAGTTTGACCAATACAGGGCGTGCTATCATCAATCTGATTGACTGTATTCAGCATGCTTTTTAATCGTGCCATTTGGGATTTCAGTGCATCAATGTCGGCCGTCTTTTGATTGATAAGGGCTTGAGCCTGCAGAGCTCGCTGCGCTGCGTTCGCGGCCTCTTGACGTAAAATGGGCACATTTCGTTGATACTCAACGGGCACAGTGCGCTCTTTAGACTCTACGGGGTTTACTTCATTTCCCTCCTCTGACAACCGTTCCTGGTCTACCGATTCCAAGCTACTGCGCATGGTTACTGCAGTCTCCTTAGCCGTACGATTAATATTATTAAGTTCGTCTACCAAATTTCGCATATCTTCACGTTGCGCACGTAATGCTTCAAGTTTTTGCTGCAGCGCCTGCTGCTCGGCAATGATCTCCGGGCCATCATCTCCCAGTACATTGCTCAGTTCGTTTTGACTATGTATAAATACGGTTAAATTTTTCATGCGTCCGACTAGGCTGGCCATATCATCCTGCACTTGATGTACTGATTCATAGTTGGGCGTACCCTCAGCACCTGTGGTTTGGATACTCCCCGCCTGCTGACGTAGTTGCTCCATTTCATTGAGGTGCGTTTTGGCTAGGTTTTGAATATGCAACAATTTGGCCTGTTCATTCTGCAGATGCTGCATGTTGCGATTTGAGAGTTCTAGACGTTGCTCTAACTCTTCGAAACTAGGGGTAGCTTCAGGAGTCGCTCCAGGTGTGGGGGTTTCCACAACACTATGTAATGATTGTATTGATTGGGCGCGATTGTCGCTCACCTTTAACATAGGGAAGGGTATAAGGGGAAAAAACCAATTGATAATTTTTTTTATAGCATAGTCATTTTAGCGAACAACTAATCCTACCACTAATTAAAATATTCTAGTTAGCAACCCTTTATACATATTTAAAATGAATCCTTCACAAAAAGATATGAATTAGTGGTATTTTTCATACCTCACTTAAAACGACATCTTCCAAGCTGGTAGAGTTCACAACGCCTTGGTCGCCAGCAGGATTAATTTCATGTACCATACTGTTTACCTGCTACGAAGAATGTAAGAATTAATTACTGAATAATATTATCTGATTTTCTGAAGTGTATTCACATCTGATATTTCTGTTCCTATATGCTGCTGAACACTATTGTTCCAATTTTCATCCAATCCTAGGAGGGCGCGTAGTACTTCTACTTGTGCACGGGTGGCATGTGCGTCAGGACGCGAGTCTTCTATCAATCTGTTAACCAATATCTGCAGCCCTGTTGGTGTTTGATCTTCGATGCCGTTAAATGTGTTCGGTATTACGACACCAACGGTTGCGTTCGGTGATGTAGTTTGACGTAAGGGCAGTGCTGTTGCCAACTGAGGTTGCGTCTGCTGATGCTGCACACGTTGGACGGGCCTCACAGGAAAGCAATAGCGTTGGAATTCCGGCAAATTGTCTGAGAATGGACAAAAAGAGAAACAGGTAATTTCAATGGCGTAAATACAATGTGTACAATTTTAGCATCTGAGCAATCTGGGTGGCTGCCAACAGTTTTGAGTCTGTTACTTAGCGGGTCTAGTAAGTTAGCTGCGTGGGAATTTGAACGTCAATGGAACACTGTGGGTGTTTATTTTTATGCGCAGCTAAATTTAGAGCATGATGCACAGTGGAAAGTAAAACAAATTAGTACGTACCACTCGAGTCATAATTTTGGTCCGCTGTGTCACGCTGTCGTAACTGCCGCTCCTTAGGGCTAGAGTTACTGCTTAATGCAGCTGGTGGCAGCTCGTCTTGGCTGTTGCTTATGCACGCTTGCTGTTGCGCCACCGTCGAAAGAAGAAAGTCCTTCAAACAAAAAATTAATATAAGTACTATGCTTGTAGCTCTATGCGAAATATTCTCATTTGTCGAACTCTCTTATATGCATATGTATGTTTATTCCGAATGCGCTATACAGCCAGCGCTGGCGAAGGCAGAAGTATTACTGTTCGCAAATGTTTTCGAAACGAATTCAACACTGCTAAATGTATTTTTAAATAAGAGCGCAACGAATAGCAGCAGAGATTTGTTGGTGGAAAAAAATACTGAATTCACGCCGCTCTACTGAATGTAGAACACCTGACTACCAATGGCTTACATTTAATGTCTTAAATGCCTTTCGCTGCAATGGCTGCACAGGTTCCGTGCTGTTTTGACCACTCTCCACCTCAAGTTGTTTCGTCTGCTGTTGCACTTGTTGTTTGACCAGGCCACACCCGCTACGGGTTCGGATCGTGTTCGACGCTGTCGCTTGCTTAGGCACAGCACCAGTAGCTTTGTGTATGTTAGTTAAATTAACTTTACTATTGTTATTGCCGCTCCTTGTGACGCTGTCCGGCAGTGCTTCACTTTTGATTGGCATTTTTTTATTAAAGAAGTTTCTCCTTACAAAATATGAAATACTATATTTATATGTTCATGTCAACAGCTTTTCGTATTCTACTATGTCTTGTATTTCATAAAAGGAACACTTCAATTTTTAAACAATAAACAAACAATTTTCAGGTAATTATTTTTTTTTTTTTTTTTTTTTTTTTTTTTTTGGTTTTAAGTTACCACGATACCCTTGGGTATTGTGGGATTATTTGGCCGCCCACTTATTGGTAAAGTGGAAAATGCCACGCGGGTTATTTCGTAGTGTTTGCTTGTCTTTAAAGTTTTACGTTGATTTCTTTTATAAAGTTGACCAGTGAATTGTACTCAGCTGTGGCCGCTTGCTTGAAAAAAGTGTGCACATTGTTGTATTTTGCTAGTGATGTGTAACGTTGACGAGCTGTGTTGTGCTTTGTGCATTCAAAAATAACATGTGTTGCGCTGTCAGGGACGTTACAGCTGTTGCATATGTTATCATTTAAAACGTGCATTTTCGATAGAGTGACTTTGTCGAATGAGTTTTCACATATAAGTCTGTTCATTAGTTTGATATTATTTGGATTTAATTTGCAATTTTCGTTCTGAAACCAAGGCTTGTTCACGGTTGCCGGGAAGAGTGCGCAGTATTTTCTGTCCTTTTCTGCAGCAAAGCTGGAGTACTCCCTCTCCCAGTCCTGATGAATCCTCCTGTATATAGTACACACCGCGTCCTTCAGGCTCCATTTCACCGTCATGAACGTACCTTCTGTTGGTGCTTTCTTTGCTGCCGAATCCACTATGCTGTTTTGTTCTAGCCCTACGTGACCCGGTATGTAGTGCACTTCTACCTCCATTATCCTGGAATTATTAATTTTATTCTTTATATTGTGAGCTATGTAATTGTTCTGCGATGGCTTAGTCAGTATTTGAGCACTGCCTCTACTATCTGTTAAGAATGCTACCCGTGGTATGCCCAGTGAAATAGCGAAATCTAGTGCCTTATCGATAGCTAAAAGTTCGGCGGAGAGTGACGACAGGATTTTGTCCGTGAAAAAACTTTCAATGTGCCCTGACTCCTCATGTAAGAAGGCTGAGCTGGAGTGATTTACGGTGACCGATCCATCTGTGAAAAAAAGCTTAAAACCTCCGCGCCTAAGGGAGTGAACCTTTTCATTAAAAATAAGACGAGTGCTTATTGTGTCTATTGATTTCTTGTTTCTCGCAGCGCCCTTGAAGAAATCCAGGTCTCCTTTAATTTTGGCGCACTTGTCCTGATTTAAAGGGATTTCTTCTATGCGATTGAAAATGTCTGCAAATTCATTGTACACTTTCGAGTAGCTGGTGTTGATTTCGCGACCATACATGAGTGTGTCACCTGCTGGCAGGTTAAAAGCAAAGACTTTCGCCAATTCCTTGGCTGTGAGAAATTTGTATCTGTATTTGGGAGGAAGCTCAGCCGCCATGTGGTATATTACCGGGACCGGCGTGCATTTTAAAAGCCCCAGAGCTTTCCTAAGGTACAGGTTTGTACTTCTTGTGACTTTTTCTAGAGCTGCCTTAGTCAGATTGCTGAAGGACGAGCATGCATATTCCAGTTTGCTCCTAAAAAAAGCCTTGTGTAGCAGAACCCCCTGTTTAGGGCTGACCCCAAATTGGCAGCCGCTTAACAGCCTAATAAAGGCACATGTTCTGTTGGCCTCTGAGATGGCTTGATTGACATGACTGCACGCAGAATTGTTAGCCGAGATGATTCGGCCAAGGTACTTGATTTGCTCCACTTCATTTATGAAAGTGCCTTGATATAGAATATTAAGTTGCTTTTTGTGCGAGCTAAAATGGATGGCCTTTGACTTGGATGGGTTAAAAGTCAGATTAATTTCGCTGCATTCTCTTCCGAATTCTTGTATCTTGTTGCTCAGTATTTCTACGGCATCATCTAGCTTCTTGTGAAAGCACACCAGGAAAAAGTCATCAGCGTATTGAAAAAGTTGACAGTTTTGGTTGTTGACCTTATGGAGCCCTGCCGTGTATATGTTAAATAAAGTTGGGCTCAGGCAACTGCCTTGGCAGACTCCTCTATTTATCTCCACCTTGCTAGAGCCCTTTATAAGGAATCTGCTTCGAAGAAAACAAATTATCCATTGAACTTGGTGCATATCGAACTCCATGCAATTCAGCTTGTATTCCAAGATATCGATATCTACACAATCAAACGCCTTTTGCAGGTCCAGACATGCCGCTGCCACCTGGAAGCCTTCGGCTTTTAGGCATTGAATCTTGTTTACCAGGTCGTTGATGCATAGGGTGGTTGATCGGTTTTTCCTAAAAGCGTACGATCTGTCCGGCAGTAAGCTTCGGCCGGCGATGTGAACTTCAAATTTAATTTTAATTATTCCTTCAATTGATTTAAAAAGTGAACTCAGAAGGCAGATCGGCCTGTGATTTTGTATAAGTGCGGTATCTGCGTTCCTTTTTGGAACCGGAACCAGACGTATATGTCTCCAGCATTCCGGTATGATCCTTTTGAGCCATATGCCGTTCAGTATTTTAAATATATGGACTTTCTTGGCGTTAGGTAAAATCTGCAGCATCCGGTATGATATGCCATCCAGACCGCATGCCGATGCTGGGCTTCTTGTATTCAAAAAAGAAATGAAGTCCTCAAAATCTAAGGAACTGTTTGGCGTGATATTTTGGGTTGTTTGAGACAGTCTCTGTGGTGGATTGCTTGATGTGCCTGGTGTGTCTTTTACTATTTGTAAAAACTCCTCGTCTTCCTCTTTGGACCATGTATTTGCTGTCTTTTTTATTTGTTTGTAAAACTTTAAATGCTTGGCACCACTCCACAATGACTGCGTTGACGTGATATCGCTCAAGAAATTGGTAAAATTTATTCTACGGCAGTTCTTAATGTGGCTTTGCAGTTTTGTTTCCGCCTCCATTAATTTTTCCGCATCTGATAGTTTTTTGGAAAAGTAAAATTTCCTTCTGCTCGCATTTCTAAGGCGGAACAGCCTGTTTGCGTCTTCATCCCACCACTTCTTCGGCACGTATTTGTTGTCGCTGGGTATTGTAACGGTGTTCGCTTTGATAATTGAGCGAACATTGCCATTGAGTGTGTCCAGATCTGAGAACTCACTGTTAGAGAATACCCTTGCGATTCTATTGTGCAGTACTTTTTTGTGATTAGTTGTTGTGGTTAATGGGTCCAGCTGGATCATGACCGGCAGGTGATTACTTTTGGATATTTTGCAGCTTAAAGTCTGCCATCTTACTTCCTGGCTTCTGAAGTTGCAGAAGGTCAGATCCAAGACTGACCCGTGACCTGGACCACGAGAAAAAGTTGGAGAGCCATTGTTTAAGCATATAAAACCGGAGTCCGCGGCGGCCCGTTCAATGCTGTGTCCCTTACTGTCACTAGTAGGACTACCCCATGTGGTAGATTTAGCATTGAAGTCTCCGCTAATTAGGGATGCCTTGTTCAGAGAGGCCGCGAACGCGAAAATGTCCTTAACTCCATTTTTTATGTTGGAGATTGGTGTCGAAGGAGCTGCATATATGCCAAATAGGTTTATGTTCTTTTGTAGGTTGAGTGTTTGTATTCCTATACACTCCAGGCAGTTTTGTATATTAATAATTTTGAATTTTATGTTTTTCCTGACATAGATTCCTACTCCACCATATCCATCCTCTCTTGGTTTTCCGTAGAAATTGAAGTCCGGAATGCTGCATTCAGAGTTATCTCTCACCCAAATTTCTGCAAGAATTGCCACGTCAATGTTATTATTTATAAGGAACATATTTAAAAGCTGTTTGTTGTTGTTGAAAGTCAAACTTTGAATGTTATACTGTAGGATCTTCATATTAATTATTATTTGCCAGAGCCGACGCGTTTCTGATTGAATTGGCGTCTAGCTCTGCGTTCGTGGCGTTTATGAAGTCCCTTATTTCTTCCCAGAATATTCTTGGGGGGCCAGCTCCATTATTGTTATTCTGATCCGTTAAGGAGCCCAGAATCTTTTTCCCCAGCCAAACAAACTTTTCCTGCAGCAAGGATTCGTTTGAGACCAATGAGTCTATGACCGAATTGCGATTTTCATTTCTAACCGGATTTTTATTCTGCTTTGGCTGTTTTGAGGCGTTCCCCCCTCCATTCTTGGCCACTTCGGCGAAAGGCGATATGGCATGCACCTCTCTTGCCACATCTGAATTATTGTGCACGCGGGTGCCCGACTTGTCGACTTGCTTCTTTAAATGTGGGAACTCCCTCAAATTTGCCAATTCTGGAACCCCTCTCTCGAATAGAGATGGAAATTTTTTCCTAGTCTCCTGCTTAGAGAGATTTTCTACAGCCATACATTTTTGTATTGCATACGCCTTTTGCCTTGCTGGGCACTGTGGAGCTGTAGCCATGTGCTCCCCTTTACAATTTGCGCATGCAATGGCTGAACAAATAACTCCCTTCTCGTGCTCCATGCCGCATTTGAAGCACCGCGCGGCTCCCTTGCAATGCTTGGCCATATGGCCGAAGCGCTGGCAACGGAAGCATTGCCGAAACTCAATATAAGGGTGCACCTCCACCTTTGTGTAAAGAAATTTAATTTCTTTGGGAAGCTGGTGTCCCTTAAACCAAACTTTGACTCTCATAGTGGGGACCAGATTCTTTGAATTCGAGTCTCTTTTAAAGATTCTTTCCACCTGCGATATTGGAATATCCGCTGACAAGAGCTCCATCAGTAGCTCGTTAGACATATGCGTAGGGATATTAAACAAAATGCCTGCCTTGGCTATGAAATGCCTAAATATTTTAGGCACAAAACCACGGTCTGCAAGCACTTGCAATGACGCCAGCTCATTCGCACTCTCGGCCGAATGGCAAATAATTTTGCACCTGCCATACCCTATTTTCATTATCTCTTCGATACCTTCAATCTTCTTGGAGCATAGCAGTTCCGTGAGTTCAAATTGATTTATGGCTTTTCTCAACCCGACTTCACAAGCCTTGTCAACATAAACCACATAAGGGCCTTTATGAGCCTCTTCATAATGAAAGTTATTCCAATAATTGTTTTTACTCACGCTTTTTTTTCCCACTTCTTCTTCTTTTTCCTTTAAACCATTTGTCTCCGAATTAACTGACTTACTTGAGTCTTCCTCTTTATCTTTCTTCTTGACTTCCTCCGAAATGCTGTGATTTACCGTTTTGAGCTTTGCCGCGCTTTTTGTTGGCGCGTCATTTTTTCCCGCTTTTGCTCCAGACATCCGACCTGTATCTGTACCCTCCTTCTTTTTAAAAATGTTAGGAGTAATGCGACGGGATATAGGCCCCCTCGTCTCCGTGCTGCCGAGTGAACGTCCAGCTCTACTCCTGCTTGCCATAGTAGCTCGCCTTAATCCACTGCCAGCCGGTACCTACACACTGTTGTGGATGTGAATGGGATTACACTTGATTTATATTTCAAACTATTTATCAAGTATTTATAAATCAGCTATCAAAATTAGGAGTAAATTAATTTTATTTATTTATTTTCTTAGAGTGAGTTGCAAAGTTTTCAGTTATTTTTTTTTTTTTCTCCCCCCTTTTAGCAATTTCTTGCTATTAGTTCACTTGTACTTTAAGCACTCGAGTAGATGTTCTCCGAACGGCGTTCAAATTGCAACTGCAGGTAATTATTTGTGCACTACAGTCAAGACCGTCTGCTAATAGCCCTTATCGATATTTTTAGACCAGGGCTGCATTCTATCAGAGTGCTGCCAACGCGGAGGAAACTCGACGCGCGCTTTACATCTTATTTATGATTGTACCCAGCTATTTCTTTTGCCTTTGACGTATGATGTCTTCCTTTAGGGTTTTTATACGATCCCGCTCTGCGCGCAAACATTCGGCATGTCCACGCAAATCACTTGTAAAGTCTGTAAATGTATTTAACATTATGCTGAGCAACTCCGCATTGTCCGTTACCGGACGAGTCATTGGAGATGCTGCAACGACTGGTACAGAACATGGCTGAGCTTCCGTTGCACACTCAGCTTCAATTATTGAAGGCGCCGCCTGTGTGATTTTTGTGGCTATATGTTTTTCAATAACATTAGTGGTATCCACTATATGCTGCACGCGCTTGAATTGCGCCTTAAGGGCTGATATTTCATTTAATTTTTCCTGTAAATAACTGGCCGTTTCCTTCTTGTCGTCCGTGATTTCATTTTCTTCTTCATGGTCTATTTGGGCGTCCCATGCTTGTGCGGGTTCTGTCTCAGCTCTCTGTATTATCGGTGTAGGAACAATAGCATCTGTTGTGGAAATTTGTGCTTGGGTTGGTTGCTGTTCTTTGTTCGACTGCGCCTGCTGCTGCACATTTAAACGGGTAAGTTCTGCAGCACGTGCTCTCAATGTTTCCATCTCTATCAGCAACTGTCGGTGCTCTGCCTGCATTTCTTGCAGTAGCCGATTGGAGGCTTCCAAGCGCTACGAAAATAAAGATTATGCTGATTACACACACACACATACATATGTACATACATATGTATATACATAAATAAATACTATATGTACAAACCTCACTAAGGGAGTCACTACCAGCATCAGCAGTTGGTAAGTTCACTTCGTTCACCATTTTCACGTTCTGCAAGTAAAACAAGAAAGGAATGCTAGAGTCGAGCAGGTCAATTATTAAATACCCATAAAAAATATTTAAAACTACCCAAGAGTAGTTTCGTTTTGTCCGATTGTATGTAACGCACAGAAGGAGTCGTGGCAGACCCCACCAAGTATACATATATACTATTGATCAGGATGACAAGACAAGTCGATATAGCCATATCCGTATGTCCGTCTGTATGAGCTCAAGGATCTCAGAAAGTACAAGAGCTAGAATTACCAAACTTGGTATTCAGGTTCCCCTGAGCACTAGACAGGTCAAGTTTGTTTTTTATACTCTGTACATAAAATGTAGTAGTGTAGTGTTGATGTTGCCGCTCCTTTGGTTGAACTTTGTGCTGCATACATGCTGACACAGACACGAATACACACAATTAATTCATTTTCTGTAGTTATTCTACACATACATACATAGGGACAGAGTATTTCAAAGTCGGGACACCCGACTTTAGCTTCTCCACTTGTTTTATTCTGTGTATGAATGTATATAGAGATAGGTGCATACGAACAGTGCATGTGGTTATAAATAAATATTTTTATTGTAATAATCACTTTTAATACATTTCCGTGGCAATAATTGGGTGTTCTAAAATGCAAGAAATGGTATATACGAAAGTATAATAAAATAAACTTACATAACGATTTTGTCAGCAGTTTTGTCTTCGATGAAATCTAAATATACTTGTTACAAATTATCAGCAAAGTCATGCACGCAATGCCAAGTCAAAGCTCTAACTAAATTGCTGGCCATAAGCGAAAAAATACTTAGATATATATTTGAAAATGCAAGAAAGCTCTCTCCAACAATTCAATTATTTTCAAAACATTTCTTTTTTAAGAACCCACCGCCTGTTAAACTTAATTTCGGTTGACTGAGAGAAAGACAGAGCGAGAATGATATAGAGATACGAAAAGAGGGGAAATAGTAGCAATACGCATAAGAAACTGTCTGTGTTGAAGAGTGTATGTGATAGTACTATTAAGGGCCAGCAGTTTTTAGAAATTGGTGACTTATAAACTGTACAACATACTCATATAAATGAACAATGTTGTTCCTCCAGAAGACAACAATTGTTCAACAGGAACAAGGGAAATTGCCGGTGGGCAAAAGCGAATCGATCCAGTGGAGATTTGTTGGCAGACTGGCTGCTATGATTTGCTACACTTCACTTGGATTGTTCCCAAATGGGACAACTGAACTTATTTCAACTTATTTCATTAAATATAGCTTAAGCCCAACTTCAAATTTGGTGTGGGCGCTATGTTAGCCCGTGAGAGCGCGAGAGCAATAACAGCGCGAGAGAGCTGTGCGCAGACAACTTAACATTTTATGCTCATGTTATAGGTGCATAAGGCAGACTCAGAACTATGGCAATATTTCGACATCATTAAACTTATAATTAATAATTCCAAACTATATCTGCTGAACTACCTTAACATCGGGCGCGTTGAAGGACCGCAGGTATTCAAGAAACTGCATTTGGTAGTGGGGCCAGTCGGTGGATTGCTCGTTTAAACAGCCCGGCCTTAGTGCGGACTGTTGCTACACGCACTTTGCCATCGGCGCCTTGTACCGTTTCTTCGACGATCCCCAGCATCCATTCTTGAGGCGGAGCGTTGTCGTCGTGCACTATCACGACTGTTCCGACCTCCAGATTGCTCCTGTCTCTGGACCACTTGTGACATTGTTGAAAGCTCAGTAGATAGTCCTTCGACCAATCTGCCCAGAATCGATGCTTTATGGCGGAGATTAGCTGCCAACGTTGCAAGTAACTTAACTTGCTGTCTGCCACGAGCTGTGTTGAATCTGATGGCAGCGCTACGGGCGTTGTTCCGACGATCAGATGCGTTGGTGTGATGGCCTCCCCATCGTTGGGATTTGCGCTGTCCGCGACGATTGGACGCGAGTTGAGCACTGCTTCTACCTCCACCAGAACCGTTGTTAACTCGTCCTGCCGTAGAAGTGCGCCGCCTATTGCCATGAGCAGCAACGTTTTGGCCGACTTTACGGCCGCCTCTCACAGGCCGCCGAAATGCGGCGCTCTCGGAGGGATGAAGACGAACGTGATCCCTTTTGTCGCTGCGTACTCCACAATGCCATCTTTGTTGGAGTTGAAGCTGGCTTTGAATTCCTCCACCTTGCGAGCCGCACCCACAAAATTGGTTCCATTGTCGCAATGGATGCGATTGACAGGTCCACGGCGACCAACAAATCTGGATAAACACATTAAAAACGAATTAGTACTCAGATCAGTGATGAGGTCAATATGTACAGCCTTGGACGTAAAACAAATAAACACCGCCACGTACATTTTAACCGGGGCTCTGCCACGTATTCCCAACGAGACAGGAATTGGGCTGCAGAAGTCCACTTCGCTAACTTCGAACGGCCTACAACCATGTAGCCGATCAGCGGGTAAAATTTCCCATTATTTGGTTGGCTAAAATGGGTTTGTACCGGAAACAATGCACACACGCGTTTATCAACCAAATTTGTTGGCACAGAATGCCTACAAGTGCGCGCGGACCACCGTGGCAATTGGTACGATGAAAATATTGCAGATATAAGTTTACGAAACGGTTTTTGATAGGAGGGCTGCAGGATCATCGACTTGTCTAACTTTGACACCTCGTCTGCGAAAGCTATGTCTTGTATTGCATGAACAACGGCCAAAAATGCGTAATGCAATTCAGTAATTTGATCGCCCGGTAATGAAACGAAACATATACGAAACTATACAGAGGATTTTTAAATACGACGACGACTTATCGATTAATTCAAAAACTGAGTTTGGAGCGATATCGGCCGCGATGAGAACCGTGGCATTCTTAATGTGCGAGTTAAGTGGCCAAAGTTTGGGATCACTTTTGAAAAATTTAGGGCCATTAAACCAATGCGATTCAGTCAGCTCGGCAGTGGTACAACCACGTGAAGCTAAATCTGTTGGATTTAAGGTCATCGGAACATGACGCCATACCACATCTGGCGTTAATTCTTGAATATCCGCAACTTTGTTGGCAACGAACGTATTCAAATGAGATGGGCCAATGCAAGACCACCTCAGAGTCCGACCAGAAAACGATTTGCTCTACAGATCCATGCACAAGCTGTTCAACTTTTTCCCAAAGCTTGGGCAACAATTGCGCAGCGCACAATTCTAAGCGCGGAACTGATTTAGTGTTAAGCGGAGCCACTTTAGATTTGGCTGTCAAGAGATGTATGACTATCTCTTGCTCGCGCTTTACTCGAAGATAAAGACAACACCCGTACGCCCAAAATCATGAACTTTGTATTTGATGCCTTTTGTGACGCCGACGTACCGGGGTATGCGAATCGACTCTAACTCATTGAATGACTTCTTGATTGTTTCCAAGTCATGTAATAAATGGTTAGGTATTTGGTCATCCCAAGCGGATTTTTGCAACCAAACTTCCTGCATTAAGATTTTCGCCTTAGTGACAATTGGACGCAATAGGCCAAGCGGGTCGTATAAGCATGGTTCAAACGATCAAATTGCACTTTTTGTGGGCACAATATCCAAAGATATATTGCTTGCTAGATATTTAAACACGTGGTCGGATGGACTCCAGATGAGCCCCAAAGTCTTTGTATCTTCTTGGTGGCCGATCACAAGTTAATCACTGTTTAATGATAAGAAACTTCCTGAATTCGACGACAATTTTGCCAGTGTGAACCCGAATGGTTCTAACACTGAAACCAATTAATTTTGCAACAGTCGCTATTCTTCAACAGAATCTGCACCAGATAAAAATCGTCCACATAAAAATCGTTAGCCAATGATTTTGATGCTAGCGGATGGGACCTGGCATGCAGCTCACTCAAATATTTCAAGCACCGAATGGCCAAAAATGGTGCTGCGGCGGTACCGTATGTTACCGGGTTCAATCGAAATATTTGAAGTGGTTCTGTATTGTTTTTTCTCCAAATAATCATTTGAAAATTGCGATGCTTTTCTTCGATTTCGACTTGTCGATACATTTTGGCAATGTCTGCCGACAACGCGAACGGATACAGTCGAAATCGCAACAAAGTCGAGTACAGACATGGCTGAATCGTAGGACCCACCATAAGAATGTCGAAATTTGTGACGACGTCTTACATGACGCGTCGAAGACGACTCGTAACTTTGTTGAAGTGCTTTGCGGTCGTAGCACGCATTGATAAGGTATAAAATAATGCGGCTCTCTCGGGGCAATGTTGTCCACTGGGCTCATGGACCCATTAAAATATATTCTTGCATGAAAGCAATATACATTGATTCAGTGTCGGGCTGCTTAGCCATTCGCCTTTCTAAGGCCAGAAAACGTTGAAACGCTGTCTCATACGAACCACCGAGACAACGTGGGCTCGACTTGAATGGCAATGCAACACTGAGCCGTATATAAGTGACTTGATAAGTTTGGAACCTCTTCCAACTCCCGAAATTTGCGAATAAGTGAATCGAAAGGACTAAGGACTAGACGATAGCTCAGATGAATTCGTAGAGCGACCCCGCCCTGCTATAATCCATCCAAGAGCTTGCATCGCCAGTGACTCATTTGTTCCCTTTACGTGTCCTTCTCTTAGTAGATCAAATAGGCATCTGCTCCAAGCAGCAGATCTATGCGTTGCGGCCTATGGAACAGAGGATCAGCTAGTTCACAACTATCAGGCACGTCAACAACTACGACCAATTTTTCGGGCTGGTACGACGATTGGTACCGAGAACTGCAAATTCTGCTGTTAGCTCGAAATCGTCGACACGAGAAGCTATCGACGTCTGAACCACATGACGGACAGCTGATTTGCGTTTGCTAATGCCTAGCAAATTTATATCTTTGCGCTCACGTGTATTTCTTCTGGCTAAATCCTCTGTCATGAAATTTACTTGAGAGCCGGAATCTAAAAAGGCTCTGGCTAGCTGATAGGATCCGGAGTGGTCTATGATCCTAACGACAGCAGTGGTCAGCACTTCTTGATCAGCTGCCACACTAGCATGATTGCCAGAGGACGTTTGAGCTGGTATGGCAGCTTGTGCCACAAAGGGCTGGCTAGCCACTGCCGCTTGCGAAGAGTCTGGGGCATATTTATGCAAAAGCGAGTCGACGACTCCTCAGCTGACAAGTGCTGGTATCGCTTGTTGAGAGCAGCCTCGCAGTCTTCCCATGATGGAAGCTGATCGTAGTTAAGGCCCTCTTCCCATTTCGACCGTGTGGTAGAATCCATTTTGCACATTTGCTTTTCGTCACCCAAAGACAAAAGTGACTCGTAACTAGCCCAAACATTGTCAATAAAGGAGCGCAAAGATGAAGCTGAGGCTCCTTGCATTTTTGGCAAATCAAAAAGCTTTGCGATGCTGTCGAAAACTATCAGGCAACTGTTGTCATACACCCGCTTCAGTGCCGCCAGTGCCTTTTACTTCTTTGTCTAAGCAAGACAACAACCTTTTCAATGTTCGAAAGCGACGGGTCATTGTCAACCAAATTTTCAAATATACCTATAAAATTGTTATACTCCGAATAGCTTCCAGTAAACTTCGGAAGCTTCATTGAGGGCAGCTGCTTGCTAAGCGAGCTTGATCCAAACATTGTGGAATTAGACAGGCTTTCCCTTTGAGTTGTAGGCCGACTACCTTTACTCAGTAGCAGCGTCTCTGTTGTGATGCACAATGTTTCTAAATCTATTTAATCTAATTCCTCTTGCACATTAAACGCTTTATCAACATAGCGTGTTAAAATTCGTAGCCGACACTCCATTTCGACTGGCTCGATACTGCCAGGGCATTTATGAAGCGCATCTTTTATCTTTTACTACATCTTTTACTACATTGGAATGCGACTGCAACAATGAATCGAGCTTTACTGTTTCGAAATCATCAGTTGACTTGCTTTGGCTATGCTTGCTGCGTTTTCCAGACATTTTACTGATAAGTCAAAATATGCACCTTTATTTTATAAGTATTTATAGATCGTTGCGCTCATACAGACAGACGAACGAACGGACTCCCCCCCCCCCCCCCCCCCCCCCCCCCCCTATTCACGATTTTTTATAACTCCCGTAATTCTTGGAATTTTTAACTAAAATTTGGCTGACACATCCAGTTAGTAATTATATATCAGTATACCAATCATTATGATAGGTTGATCATAAAGAAATTTATAGCCATATAACCAGGCCCATTGCAAACATACATGCATATGTACAAGTACACAAACACGCATAGATACGATTCTGATGTAAATGTATGTATGCATGTATGGAATATTTTATATTTAATTTAGTTAATTAATTAAATTAATTAAATTAAATTAATTAATTCATTAAATTTATTTATTTTTTTGTGGGCTGGTACAGGGTATTTAAGAGTTGAGCCTGCTCGACTTTAGCATTCCTTTCTTGTTTTATTCTGATACACCCACTCCCCCGCAATTCGTGTTTTTTTCCATAACTCCCGTAGTTTTTAGAATTTTTAACTAAA